CTCTTTTTCTAAGAATTATTACTACCATTTTCTTTGCATACCAAAGAAAATTCAGAGCAGTACAGAAAAACAGTATAACAACCTGCAATTACTCTTATCGGGCCTATACAAAATTGAATAAAATAATATTAATTGCTTTTTTAAAAGTCTGTTTAAAAAAATAAAATACCTGCTGGCTTCTAGAGTTACTGCATCCAGAAACTCTGTGGCTAGGTTGGAGCTGATTTCCTCCAGAATATTCATGTTGATCCTGAAGAACAGATAAAATGGAGCTCTGGGAGACTCCAACCTCAAAGACAAAGCAAAATTTATCCTCCGACAGCTTTGAGTAGCGATCCTAAAGATAGGAATGAACTAGCACGGGGGTCTTCAAACTTGACAGTTTTAAGGCTTGTGGACTTCAACTCCCAGAATTCCCCCTACAGTCACGTTAGCTCAGGAATTCTGCGAGTTGGAGTCCACAAGTCTTAACCTTGCCAAGTTTGAAGAGCCACGTACCCGAGTTCCACACGTATCTTACGATCGTTGGGATGAAAGTTGTTGAGCCATTCAGTAGAATCAGTCCTGCAGGTTTCCCTCCCTCCCTCAGCCAGCACCAATGAGGCTGCCTCAGCGTTAGCAGTAGGCCTGAAGCCAGACTGATGAGAATTCAGGTTGGCTTCTTTCAAACCCTTCTGTGGTTAGCCAGGTATCACAGCTCCTGTATCCCCTTCCCCCCAAATGGGAAGCTGCTGCAGGACAGGGGCTACCTGAACCCTCGGGGCCTCTGAGAAGGAGAGTCTGCTGCCACCCCCCCTTTCCACGGAGCTGACCTGATTCCTTCTCTGCTGGCCATGTCCAGCCAAGAAGCAGGACGAGTAACCAGGGAGCCGCATCCTGTCCCTTCTGGCTGACAGCCCAGATCCTCTCAAAGGGGGTGGTGTAGTGGTTTTGTGGTTGTGGTGGTGGATCACACTGCAACTTCTATAGTTGCCGTTCTCCCCAAGCAGCGTAGTGGTTTTGTAGCTTTTGTAGGCTTTGTAGGTTTTCAGTAGCTTTACTTGGTTGTTTTCCTGGTGCTCTTCACAGAATTGGATGAAAATATGCTCCGGTGTGTTGACATTTTCACCAGCTACATCATTAAACTCAGGACATTTATGATCAGGTTTCCTCATAAGCCATCCGGTGTCATAAGCCAGCCCTGGGATTCCAAAGATAACCTACCCCAAATGGAGCAAAGCCACTGGGAAAAATTTGATACAGAGGTAAGCGGAATGTACCTTCAATATCAGAATATATTTCACCCGTGATCTCAATTTATTAAACAATTTCCTTATTACATGTATGCACAGCAAATTGCAGCCATGTACAGAGCCTGCTCCACGTTCAGCACTTGAAAGTAATTGATTTCAGTGGGAAGGAGCAGAGTGGGGATGTAATTGGTTTAGCAAGAGATCATTCTGTGCACGTGAGAGAGAGAGAGAATGGTGATATAGCTATGTAAGTATCCTGGTTTGTGTTAAAGTCATTTGGAAAGGTAAATCTGTGCCGGGCATTGTCTCGTAAAAGGATAAATAATTAAGCTGCAAAGGGATCCAGGAAGGCCTCTGGCTTCATAGGCTGTGTGGTCATCCTCCTTCAACAGAATTAAGCTTGGAGACATCCCCTGAAATGGAGGGGTCGGGGCAAAGGGAGTGCTTTCTACACAGACCTGAATCTCTTCATGGAATTTGTGATCCGGTGACATCTTCATAGTCATCAGCTTAAATATTTTTTTAAAATGGCAGCAGCGGTTTTAGAGAGGAGAGGCTGGCTAATGGCTTCTCTTCAATCTAACTGGTTCAACAGCTTTCATGGCAGAGGTCTCCAAACTTGGCAACTTTAAGACTTGTGGACTTCAACTCCCAGAATTCTCCAACCAGCAGTGCGAAGTGGCCAAGTTTGGGGACCCCCTGCTCTATGGGGTAGCTTGGCTGCTGAATACAGACAGACTTGTGGTCTTTTTAGGAAGACATTTAGGTCTGTTAACCTCTGTGCTGTGGGCTTAGTTTGACTATCAGATCAGCTAGTAACTCCCAGCCGTTTTGGAACACACACACACACACACACACACACACACACACACAGGCCACTCAGCAGATCCCCAGACCTAATGCCACATTGCCCTCGATCAGCTCTTTTCAGGATGGATTTTCAGGATGGAGTTGCAAGGATGGATTTGGCTTCACTTGGTTTGCACCTCTTTGCTTTGATCCGGAATTCCCCTGTTCTACCCCCGTCCCCATTTCCCTTGCCCCTCTTCAACCTTTCAAAGCAGAAAACAAAACTCAGGGTGAATAGAGGAGGGAACCTTGAAATCACTGGTCGTTTTATTTCCTAGCAAGCTGTCACTGAAGCCCTTCTAAGCAACAGAGTGCCAGAGGCACAAGTCTTTTTCCGTCTGACTCACAACCCTGCCCAGGATCTTGGGCAGCTAACCCGGATAGGTCTGGAGATGGCCTACAAAAGCCTCCTGAAGAAAGACATAAATGAAGCTTCCAAACTTTTAAGGAACATGGTGAGTAACACTGCAACCCCACTGAGCTCATTTTAAATCTTTGCTGTATTTTCACGTACATAGATTTTGTATCTTCGCATCCTGAGCATAATTATTTCTCCTTTGTTCTTCTGGGCTAGAGTTTAAATGGGAAAAGGTGATCCATAATCCCCAGGGACATTTCTGCCTGCTTGAGCCACTGTTTACTGACCACAGAAAGCCCTTAGCCAAGGCCTCGGGTCCTTTCACGCCAATGCCGAGAATTAGGGCAAGGCTTTTCCGTATGCATGTTTTTTGCAAACATTCCTGCAGGAGAATTTCTTTTTCCTTTTGGTAGGGCCTCAGTGTGAAGCAGCAACTGCACAAAATTTGTTTCTATACAACAGATTACCACGTCCGGGACTTTTTGGTAAGTTTAAATAAAAATCTTTGCCCATGAAATGATTTCAGTTAATTGTATTTTTCCCCATGTGTTTGTTGTGGCCTGCCAGCGGCCAGCGGAGTTGGCGGAAGACTCAGACAGTGAGGAGGTTGGGGAGGAACATGGGCCAGTCCTGGAGCCTGGGGAAGGCTCTGAGGAGAGCTCTGCATCGGAGGCAGAGATGGGGCCAGGGCCGCCTGACAGGTATCAGATGCCTTGGAAGTCTGAGATCAGTGGGGCAGAAGAACAGCTGGAGCCTGTTCCCGATGTGCGCATGTGCAGAGCTGCCAGAAGAAGGGAACAGCTAAGGAACAAGGGCTGATGCGGGAGTAAAGGCACAGCTGAACAGTGAATGGCCCCTCCCATAGGGAATAAAGATGAGCAAAAGGGGAGTGGTGTTTGCAGGAGACAATTAGTTCATTTAATTAGTGTGAAGATTTGTTCGTGACTCTCAGAGACCCCTTGCCAAGTATTTTCTTGTACAGCATTACGCTTGGAAGCTATCGGCCTGGCAGCTTTCCAGGCCTGATAAGGTCTGTGGTTGCAATTCACCCTTGAAAGGCTGTTTTCCGGGACCCTGCTGGATGTGAATGACAGGAATTCACATCAGCCTAATAATAAAAAGGGGTTTTGTCGGGACAAGGAGTCTGTTTCATGATTTTGTGAAGCCCAAGTCAGAATAATATTGTGGTAAACTCCTCAGATTGTTAATTTTTACTCAAATCTCAGAAACGGCCAGAATGTAAATGGGTTCCAGTGTTAATAGCTGAAGTGGAAATTCGGTTGCACTGACATCATTTTTTGATCATATGTAAAGGACTGGCAGCACTGCCCTTATAATGTTGTCCTTTTGTTCCTTCTTACCCTGTTCAAAATGTAATTTAAAGGAAACTTGGAAATGTGTGTGGGTCTTTTGGATGGAAAGGAAACTAATTAAAGTTTTGGTTTGACTCTGCAGGTGCTCGTGCTACAAGATGAAGATGTTCTTCCTGAAACAGAGAAGGAGATGATAGACTTTGTGTATGAGGTAGAAAATATTTATTCAGGCACCTTCCAAAGAAAGGAAAAGAATGCAGCCGGCTGCAGGTAAGGCGTCTTCCGTTCAGTCACAGGTGGGAACAACCCTGGGATTAACCAAATTCCCACAATTTGAGCCAAACAAAGATGAGCTACCTTTTTCCTCCTTGTCCACCTTTTTATGGTGTGGGGAAAGTGCAGTTGGTGAGCTAGTGCGGGATCCAGTCTGGGTCAGTTACTGGGACCAGAGGTTTAGCCTTCTGAGCTTTTGGACTCATTCATGCTGGAGGGAAATCCTCTCTCACCAGGATGTGTGCTTTGGGCTGTTCTGTGTGTGGTATTTATGTGAGTGCCTGGTTGAGTGGATTTGGGATGTTGATGGCCAATTATTAAGTCTCTGGCTGTTGTTTCCTGCTCCTAAGTACCTGATAAACTGGTGGTAAATCAGCACTCCTGTTGACTGAAAAGGGCCCCATTTCCCGTTTTTCAATAATTCCTCTGGCTGTTTTTGTACCTACTCGGTCAACAATCTTAGTAGCTGTGAAATTGAACATATGTTCTTGTTGGTTGCACTGTGAGGCTGCTAAATGATTTAGGTCTCCTCATCTGACCATTCGCTTGTGTTCTTGCAGTCTGGGGGTTAGCTTCCTCCCCGTCTGTCCTTCATAATCACAGGGGCAAATCCATGCAGGGGATCCAGTAGATTACATTAGAAGTTTTTCCCACCTCCAACGATCTTAGCAACGCACCTCCAATGCAACTGATCTTTTATTTGGAGGTGGGGGATACTCCCACACACAACCTGGCACCCCACAAATACTGCATGTAGAATGAGATAGAAGTTCCCTGAGGATGTGGGCTCCAGCACAAATCGGAAAGCTCGGAAGACTAAACCTCCGGTCCCAGTGACCCACCCAGATTGGATCCTGCAACATTATCCTGGGACACGTGTATTTGCCTTGATTTGTTGCTGAGCTATTGGCCAGGGTGAATCTGATGGGTATTTGCTATTGAACAGGGACTCGTTTTGTTGTTTGGTTTTGAAGGATCGTGCTTTGGTAAGAAGTTTTGGAAAGAATCAATACCCTGGCTTCAAGGAAATGCTTTAATTATCGTTTCCAGATCTTGGAGAAAAGAACCAGACTCTGTCGATGTGACTTCTTTGGATTCTTTTCTGACTTGCACCCAAGACAGAATTCATAACTGGGAGCACAGGGTGATGCTAAACTGGGCTGAGTGGTGGAATCCATCTCTACGGGAAAGGGTCCTTCTTCCTGTGAGAACTCAGGAAGCGGGTAAGCATTGGTTGCTATGGGAGCGTGGATTTGCAGCTTTCACTTTTATTTTTATGCCACCGTTATTATTGATATAAATACCCCAAGGCGATGAACGTCTCCAACACACGTCCCTCTCCTCCTGTTTCCCCCACAAAAACAGTCCTGTGAGGTGATTTGGACTGAGGGAGATTGACTGCCCCAAAGTCACCCAGCTGGCTCTCATGCTTGAGGAGGGGGCTTGAACTGAACAGGCTCCCGCTTTCTAGCCCGGAGCCTCAATCACAGGAGGCTTTGTTTTTTGAAACAGTCGAGGGTGGGCGACTCCATGGCTTGCAGGGAGACCTCAACCCCCTTCCTGGCGCCCCCGAGACATTCCTTCAAGAGAAGAGCAGGGTTTGTGGCATTTGGATGGGGTTGCGAGCGAAATTAAGACTCTGCAGAAATCACCCAGAAATCAACCTGAATTTTCCGATTTGGGGCTGGATTGAAGAGGGGGCTTCAAGCAGCCCTCAGGTTTCCCCCTGAATGGGGAACAGGAGGAAGAGCTTGGTTATTCTGGATGTGTTGATGGAAGAAGGATGAAAAACCTTTCATAAGAGAAATAAAAACATGTATGCACATGCACACACAGAAACATGATTTAGCTTCTGGAAGTTTGTTTTAAAAATACAGCTGGCATTTATTTCCCTTGGTGGGCCCGGCAACAGTTAAAGGATAGCCACGTTAAAAGCGTAAAGAAGAACAGAATAAAAACCGGCCCCTTTTCTAGAATCCGTAGGCATAAACCTCCTGGAGGAGCAGTGCAGCAGGGGGAAGGAGGTTGGGGCGGGGGCGGGGGGGTCTGGCCAGAAAGAGAGGAGTGAGGCATCGGGAGGGGGTTCCCCAAGTGCGTTGGCTCAGCTGCAGCTGGGGTGGGGTTAGGCCAGGGAGGATGGAGTTGGGTGGAGCCTTCCGGCCAGTTCCTTTCCCACTAATAGCAGCAGCTCCACCTGTGGGCATCCGCTTGAGAATGATCTGCAGTGGGTCACGTTGGCCAGGGGATTCTGGGATCCTGGAAGGCCCCCGGCCTGAGGAAGGCCCCACCCTCCATGGGTGCAGAGTCGTTCCCAGGGTCCACCCAGTGTTTGCACTTAACTCTGCGTATTCCTCTCTTTAACAATTAGAGTTTAAGTTCCATAACCCCGAGGCCCTCTGGATGTATCTGTCCTCTTGGCACGATTGGGTGAATATCAGCTCGTGGATTTCCGACTCTCCACCCAAAGGCGACCCTGCAAAGTGGCCCCCGCTCCCTTTAGAAGCCATCGGACAAAATGCATTATGCAGCCCTTACTTGCGCAATGAAGTCTTGGACATCCTAGCTAGGTAGGCGCCTTGTCCCTATCATGGTCTCCATTTCCATCCAGTTTGTCACCTCCTCTTCTAAAAAAAAAGGGGGGGGGGAGGTTGCTTCGTGGATCACGGCTGCAGTTTCTGCTCTGCCTTTTGACAGAAATGGGACTTTTGTGCCTGCGGAACTGGAGGACTTCGAGGGCCTTCTGCAACGGACGGCCTGTGCCGGAGGCGTGATGCAGCAGCCCCACCCTCTCCCAGGCTACCTCTCGGCAGGCGGCTTAGATTTTCACACCTGCTTTATCCTTTATTGCTTAGAACGGGGGCTGGACCACCTTCTCTACTCCTACGTGGATTACTACCGGTAGGTGGGCCGTCAACGATGCCAGCGAGGCCTTTGGGGAGCCGTGACAGGAGCAGCAGGTTCTGTGGAAGGGGTGGGGGTGGGGGGTTAGAGGCTGCTCAGCTGTTGGTATTGCGTATGAACCAGGCCAAGCACTTCCGTTCCTGCAATGGTCTCCATTGTGCCTGGTGGGAGAAAGAAAGGGCTTTGCGCTGGACAGCCGTGAGAACTCGGGAGAGGAGAGTTGTGCTGGTGGGGTCCTCGTGGGAACTGGCCCCCCCCCCCCCCCAGCCCTGGAGGCAGGACAGTTTTCTCACCATACCACTGATTGTTAAGCCACATTCATTAGATTGGCTGATATTCTGGCCTGGAGAGACAAGGCTTGCTTTGTCTCTGTCATTCTGTGAAATGTCGTTCTTGATTTTCAGTTTATTTTCATCAGACTGTCTCATTTTGAACGATAAAGATCTCCGTGAAGCACATCCTTGGTTTGAATTTTTAGTGCAGTGTTGGGACATTGCCAACAATCCTGGAGGTAAGTGGCGTCTTTGCATCTCATTTGGACAAAGGTTGGTCAAAAGCCGCCTTCCCACCTAAGTGGTACCTATTTATCTTGAATTGGCATCCTTCAATCTCGAGAGAGAGACGATGGGATCGTGCTATGAAACCGGTATAAACCGCCACTTCCGGTGTTGTTTCCATGCTGTATGCAAAGTGTCCTCTCCAGAGCTCGAGGCCTGGGTAATTTAATATGGAGGATATTACACTGTTGCCCAAGTCCACGTCGCTGGAATAGTCTTAATGGAACGGCAGAGCCGATACTGTTCGTCTACTTGCGTGGAAACCAGCACTGGCTCAGTGGCCTTGAAATAGAGATGAGCAACAGCTCCGAGAGACGGCAACCATTAGCCGAGTGAACTCCCCAAGGACTCCTTTACCTTTCCTTGGTCAGGAAGCCCAGCAGGTGTGGGCCCAGTAGTGGACGCGTCTAATTTGGGCAGGCCCAGGACTTCCCCGGGGCAGGTGCCGTCCTTGGCCTGACTCTGTAAACACTTTTTGCTCCTTAGGGGCCAAAACGACCTCGAGGCCAGTTGCCTCCCATTGCGGGGAAGGAGAGGCCTGTCCGCACTCTCACAGTCTCCGGCGACCCCTTGCACCGTAGTTGGCCTTTTGGGCCTACCTTTCAAATGGGTTTGGAGCCGAGACGGTCCGGAATGGTGCAGTCTTGGGATTCAGTGGATCAAAGCTACTTTTGTGATCTAACGGGTTTTCAACTCTTCCTGGTTTCTGGATCAAACTGATTTTGATGTATAAAGCTATAAGTAAGCCCTGTGTGTGGTCATCCTTCAGGCCAAGGGCTGTTTGCACCCTCGACTTGCTGGCTAGTGGGCTGCCCTTCAAAAGAAAAGTAGGCAGCATCAGGACAAAATATCCTGACTTACATACTAGAGAGCCAAGAGATCATTAGATCCTGTGAGTGAGTGGACTGACCTCTCTTTTTCTAAAACGACAATCTGAAAAAAAAAAAAAGACGTATATTTTTCTTTGTGTTTAATAATTTCCCGCTTCTGTCAGATTTAAAATTACAGGGGGGGGGGGGGAACTTTCAGAACAGCCCTGGAGAGGCAACAGAGAGGTTCAGGGTTTTTTTGGGGGGGGTCTGCTTGTGGTGCTTTCCTGCCCTCGGGGACCCTCAAAGGCCAGCTGGACCAGCATGCCCTCCGGTCCCAGAAGCCTCCGTTCCTTGCTGGGTGGAGGGTAGTTGGAGTTGGTAGACCCTCATTTGCACACTGATCTTCTGGGCAGACATTTGAGAGGGAGGGAAATTGCTTGGGTCATGAAGCTAAATCTATTTTGAATTTTCTTTTGGATAATGCTCCCTTTGTTTCCCTTCCTGCCCCAGATGCAGACAAGATTTTTCAGGCTAGCCTAGCAAATGCCCAGATCTTGATTCCCAGCAACCAGGCCAGTGTGAGCACCATGCTGTTGGAGGGACGAACCCTTCTTGCCCTGGCTACGACCATGTTCGCCGGGGGAGGGATTGACCAGGTATGCCAACTGCAGAAGGCTGGCAACTGAGCAGCCCCTCTCCAAAGGGTTAAAGGCTCGAAGGAGGCTCACTGCACACCCAACATCTCCTCTCCCAACCAAGGGCCAGCTACGTTGGCCTGGCCCCTCTTTGGAGAAACAAGAGGTCGGCCATTGCCCTGCCTCAAAACACTTGGAATCAGGAAGGAAATCAGTGGTGCAAGCAGCCTTCAGTGCTTTTTCTGTTGCAGATTGTCCAGAAGGGAGACGGGAGAGAGAAGGTGGATGCGCAGCTCTTCAGGATGGCACTTGCTCCTTACCCCAAGCTTAGAGCTGCCCTCTTCCCTCAGGTCACTCCTCATGGCATCCCACCTTCCGACCTTTCTCTCTATCACCTTGTTCAGGTAGGGTTCAGTGCCACCCGGAAAGTGTGGGCCACGGTAGTGGATCTGATTGGGGCAGGCCCAGGACTTCAGCCTCGGAAGCAGCGTCCCCAGGGGTGGTCCTTCCCCAACCCTGCAGCCTCTGTCATCAGGCAGCCCCAGGCGAAAGCAAGGCCGTCTCAGGTGGCGCCCCCTTCCGATCCTGCGCTGGCGTCTCACGGACGGAGCCCCCTTAAGGGCGGCTTCCATTGGGAGCAGCCTTTATGCTCCCCCCACAGTTCTTTGAGGTCCTCCGCTCCATGTGGGACATACACCGTTTATAATAGCAAAGTTCAGGCAAGCCTGGAAACTGCTCTGGATCCTTTCAGATACCGGCCATCCTTGCTCCAGTAGCTAATCGCTTGACTTCCCCGCAAAGACCCCTAAAATACAGCAGTCAGTTTGATTAGGTTTCACATGCGAAAACCTTGTTGAGTTTACTGTATAACAGGGGTGTCACATTCGATTTCATTGAGGGCCGCGTCGCGGCTGTGTTTGACCTCCAGGGACTGGGGTGAGTGTGGGCAGGGTGGTCAGGGCCGGCTCAGCCTCACTCGTGTCGGGGGGGCCTGTGGTGGCGAAAATGGAGCTCCGTTTTTGCTGGCAGAAGAAGCCCCACAGGTCGGTCCTCCGCTGTGTCCAGGACGGCTCCATGGGCCAGATCTAAGGACTCCACGGGCTGGATCCAGCCCCCAGGCCTTGAGTTTTGGCTGCCCTGCTGTATAAGGTTTTTCTCCAGGGTGTCAAAATTTATTTTCTATAGATTCTATAGATCTGGGCAGCATTTTTAGCAAATCGTTCTAGAATCGCTATAATATCAGTATTTCCAGATCTTCTCCTTTGAGCCTCCTCCTCCTCCTCCTTTCTCGTAGCCTTGATCAAAAAGAAAAAAAGTGAACACTTCAATATCTGGTATCCCATAATAATGTCCCTCTAGTGGCCAGACTACCCCCTGAAACTCTTAGCACTTAAGTAAACATAACAGCCACCTGATACGGTTTGGGTTACAATCTCTCTATATAAAAGAAAAGGCCACTCACGCATCATCACAAAATCTCCAGAACCGTAAAGCCTACAAACTTGAAATCTGGCCCGTATCTTCCTCTTGGCTTCTAGGGGCTCACTAAGAAAGGATTTTTCAAAATGACCATCAGAGCATTTAGAGTATTTCCTATATCATTATTATTAACACGCTCTGATGCTAAGGAGTTCTACCCACCTGAAAAGAAATCTGTTCCAAATGCAAAACACAAGCAGAGGAGAGGAGTTTCACTTTCAGTTTAAGTTTCACAGCAGCAAACAGCTTTACTACAGAACAGTTGAGCTAAGCCATGCCCAGGCTCCTTGCTGTCTCCTTCTTGCTCACACAGCAAATACTGTTTCAGTTTCCAAACAGCCCTCAACTCTCTCATACACTGACAGGATGCTAGCCAGATGAATACCGATGGACGCTGGTAGGCAGGGGCAGAATTCCCACCCCCCCTTATTTTCCTCCCCAAAAACTAAGCCCCACCACGTAGTTTTGAATTGAAGCACGGGTATCGAGCTAGTTACACGAATTTAAAAGTCCACTCCAATCTAGCTAGATTAAAAAAGGATTACATCCAGCATGGCTGACCCTGTAGTTCCTTCGTCAATCTTTTGAGGGACAAAGTTGTCTGCTAGGTTTGTCTGGAACTTGTTTGATATATATTCATATATAAATACAACTAAAAATTTAAATACAGATTCACCAAAAAAATAAAAGGAAAAAAAAATAACGTAACAGCTTAGTCCCAAAGAAAGGAATCTGAAGTCCCTACTTTTGACTTCTTGTTTATAAGTCAACTCTGCCAGCACATGTTCCCCCCACACAAAAAGTTTCAAAAGTACTGAAAAGTACCAAGAGGAAAAATCACTGTAGCAAAATAAAGCCGCCCACAAATAACAGGAAAAAAACCATTAAGAAGTCATTATAAGTGAGGTCAGTTCTAGTATCCATTTAAATTTGGGCTGCTTCGTAGCGATGAATTGTGAAAACAGGGCTCCGTTTTCCCTGGCAGAGGGTTGCAGGAGGCTGTCGCAGCTGAAAACGGAGCTCGGGAGCCTGTTTCTGTGGGCAGAGGCACTGCGGGCTGGTCCTTTGCTGTCTCCAGGGTGGCTCCGCAGGCCGGATCTAAGCCCCCCAGGCCTTGAGTTTGACCCCCCTGTGCTACACGGTCTGAAATGAGTGTTTCCTTTTTTAGTGCTTGGCTCCCTTTGATTCCACCAAGTTGTTTGGCTGGCAGTCAGCAAATACGCTGGCCATTCCTGGTAAGTAGACCTCCACGTGCCGTCAGAATCTAATCTAGCAGCAGTTGAGCCCTGCTTTAGCGCCAGGAATTCCTCTTCTGGGGTTAAGAGCCAGGTGCTGCCTTGTTTTGTTCCAATTGCTTGCAGTTCTGCTCTTTTTCTGTCCTTTTCAGATATTTGCAATGACCTGCCTCACTTCTCGTGCTCAGCTCTCGTAAACAAGCACGCTATAATAGAGCACCTTGACTTCTCCTACTACTTATCTCACGAGCGTCCTTCGTTTGCTTTCGGGGCGTTTTTAGCTCAGCAGCTATCCAAAAGCGACCTCCCAAAGGAGCTGTAAGTAGTTGAAAGAAGCACCTGTGATTCTATGACACTCATCACGGTTACAATTAGTTTTTATCCGTTTGATTTATGTGCTGTGTGTCTTCCTGGAGATGAGTGTAGCACACCCCTCCCTGCCTGCCCTTCTCCCCAACGGTGCCTTGGTGGGCCAGGATAGAGAGAGAAGGCTGTGCCTGAGAGAAAACTTGAACCTGAATCTCCCAGGTCCTGCTCTGCGCTCACACCACAGTTGCCTTTATTCTGTTAACCTGAAGCAACACCTACCAATTGAAGCACTTGTGACCCTCAACAATAGAAGTGAATGTAATAAGTGCTGTAGGCCCAGGTGCTGCCATAAATACCCTCTGGGCAAGCACGGTTTCTCAGAGGCTGTTGTCTAATCAGGCCACAGTGAGGGTGTCCCTCATCCCAGAAGACCCCTCCTTGCCTCCTCCTCCTCCTCCTCCCTCCGAAAGCCCCGAGAAAGAGACCCAGAGAGCTCCAGGCCAAGGGTCACGACTCAGGTCGGGGGAAACCTGGCTGGCCTGCCGGGACTCTTGTAAATTGCCTGCCTCTCATCCCAACGAAGTTTATGGAATCCCCCACTGAGAGCGGAATTGTGCCTTTTCCAGGGTCCAGCAAGTGGCTCACCAAGCCTACTCGGTGGCTCTCTCGGTTTTCTATGCCCCTTCTCTTGCCGCAACCTCGGTCTGCTTCTTGGAAATGCTGGGCCTGCAGAGTCTGAAACTCCGAGTGGACGTTAAAGCTGCCAACGTGATTCTGGGCTTCATGTCCAGGAAAGAGGAGCCACAGCACCTCTCCATCCGACAGTCCTTGGGTAACGTCTGCAAATGCCTCTCCAGCCCTTGAGTGCTGCTCTCGCTCGGGGTCCCTGGCCGGAGGGTTCCTAGAAAGGCTGTGCGTAAGAAATCCCATCTCCACGGGGGTGTGTGTGTGTGTGTGTCAGAGTAGTACATGGAAAAACATTTCGAGCAGAATCTGCTTTATGGGCCTTTCCATTTGAATTGCTCATCTCTCTAATAAGGAGATGCCTAACTGATGGGGGAAAAAAATCTGCTGAATGCAGGTGGATGATTCTGTGGAGGGCAGGTGAGTGGCCCCTGGGGGGCTCGGGAGGAAGAGCGGCGATCAAAGCAACTCACTTGAGTAAAAGTCCCAGAGGAAGAGGAGGAGTGGGAGAGAGGGGGAAGCCCCCTCAGACTCGGAAGAGTCCGTTGCCCTGCCTCTTCCCATAACCCTTATTTGAACTCATAAATGTTTCTGTACGTATAACGTGTCTTATTAGTGTTGTATGCCAGTGATTGCATGACCCCCGTAGACGCGATACACTAAAGCAGGGGTCCCCAAACTTGGCAACTTCAAGACTTGTGGACTTCAACTCAGCTTTGCTGGCTGGAGAATTCTGGGAGTTGGAAGTCCACAAGTCTTGAAGTTGACAAGTTTGGGGACCCCTGCACTAAAGAAACAGCACGCCTGTAGTGCTGAGCGATGGTTTCTTGGGGTGATCTACCACGTGGGACCGATGGTGCCTCAGCAAAAATGCCTGGCCTCTTCTTGTTCCCAGTTGAAAAGCTAGGAGAGCTGGCTGAGGGAGAGAAAGCTGCAGCCGAAGATCTTCTGGTCTGCTTAGAGGAAGCCGTCTGGGATAAGGTTGACCATCAGGAGATTAAAAAGTGAGTTTGTGGCTCAGGATGGCGTGGGTTGGTCCCAAGGCAACCAAGAGAGCAAGAAAAACAACTGGTCAGGTTTACCCCTGGAAAACCGGAAGTGGCCATTTCATACAAGACTCTTAGAAATTCATTACAAAATCTGAGACCTCGCATTACTTTTTGTGAAGAAGGTGGAGAGTTGGAGTAATTGACGTTCCTTAGGCTGGACTGGGCTTCCCTGGGATGGAGACCAAAGTCGGTTGAGTGAGTGTCCATTGAAGGCTTCACCTTCAAGCTGGAAGGAAGAGTTTGAGTGCTGCACTACAGGAGGAGCCCCTTCTAGGCCTGGGGCTGCTTGCGCAGGGGAAGATAGGACAGCCCTCCAGAGGGGGAACGCCATGGCCCAGAGGACCGTGGGTTGCCCTCTCCCCTCTTTGGAAGAGCTTTAGAGCTCCCGCTGCCATCGGTAAGCAGTGCAGTTGCGATATTTTGCCCAACAATTGCTTCCCTTGGAAGTCCCAGTCCCAATTTGGGTCATTAAGTAAAGAGTATGGACCTGTATTTTCTTCACTTGCTGTTTGGTTAGTTGTTGGTTGTTGACCTACCCCAAAAGTAATAAGACTTATTCTCAGGGAAATACGGTATAAGTATTTGCTGCTATTCTGCCAGGTAACAGTTTGAGATGTTAGAGTCAAATCAATCAAAAGAAGAAATCACGTTTGGCCTGAATGTGCTGCCTCCTTCCTCCTCATTCATGGTCTAGGACAGGGGTGGCCAGCCTTTTGGACCTCATGGACCCCCAAGCTCATAATTTTAAATCCCGCGGACCTGGGAAAATCCCCCAAAAAGTCTGCAGGAAAATTTCTCACCCCGTTTTCCTACCGATCGATCATTCTTTATTTGGGATTGCAGGATACCGTCTCCAGCTCTGTTCTCAGGGGGAGAGAGAGAGAGAGACTTTTGGCTTAATGCAAGGAAAGCAGCAGAAGCAGCAGAAGTCTTTTTTCTCTCCCCCAAACTCCACCAGAAATGAGTCTTTGCCGGCACAGCCTCTTGGAGCAGGAGGCCTTGCAGGGTCCCCAAAGACTCATTTCTGACAGAGTTTGGGGGAGAGAAAGAAAGACTTTGGCTGCTTTCCCTGCGTGCAGCCAAAAGCAGAAGAAGAAAGAAGCAGAAAGAAGCAGCCCAGAGGCCAGGCCAGGCACATGGGGCGCCTGGGGCAAGTTCTCCCCCTCCCCTCACTACCTTGTGTTGTTCGCAATGCAAGCGACGCAAGCCTTGTGTTCCCGTGGGCCATGTGGGCGACGCAGCCTTGTGTTCCTGCGCACCCTGGATTAATTGCTTTGGGAGGTGACATTTCTCTGTGGACCACCAAAATTTTCTCGTGGACCACCAGTGG